AAAAGGAGGACGGACTATGTCAAAGCTTACTGTCCGGAGCTGATGGGCTGTCCAGTCTTAGTTCCATTGGTGTCTCAAGTCTGTTCTTCACAATGAGGGCAGACCGGACAGTGATCACTTTGCGAGCACTGCCTTCCATGGTCACGGCAAAGACCACCCGGACAGGCGGGAGTGCTGAGAACTGTGAAAAAGACATTGTAGTAAAAGGCATAGCTGTGATTTTGAAAATACACACAAAACTACAACCATACCAACCAGAATGCCTAAATCACAGTATCTTATTATTGCGAAAGCTCTTTGGTAAAATTAATCATTAAGCCCTAAGACCACTCAGTTTTAATAGGAATGTATAGCCTATAAATATGTACTCTTAAAAGAGCCAATTCTAAACATTCCTATAAAAATAATATATTCAGCCCAGCCAGTGTTGCTCAGTGGTTAAGGGTTGACCTATGAACCGGAGGTCACTGCTTGATTCCCGTTCAGGACACATGCCTGGGTTGCGGGCTTCATTCCCAGTGTGGGGCGTGCAGGAGCCAGTCGATCAATGATTCTCTATCATCATTGATGTTTCTATCTCTCATTCCCTCTCCCTTCCTCTCTGAAATCAATAAAAATATATTTTAAAAAAACAGCTAATCTATTCAGAAGTGACATCACAAAGTGTGTCACAAAGAACAATCCACCGTAGGCCTCTGGACACATTATAAAGAATTTCACCTAAGACTGGTAACAGCCCATCAGATTTCCCCCACTTGTGCTGGAAGTTACCCTCGCGCACAGTGTCGCAAACCAGCCCTCACATGGAAACGGACCAAGACTCGCTGTCAGCTCTGCCAGAGGGGACTACAGATCATGCACGGCATCGCAAAGTTCAGAAGCACTGAGGTAGGACTGCACTTCATAAAACATTAAGTGATTTACCTTCTGCGGTAGTTTCCTCCCAGATTAATATTAAAGTGAGAAAACATTCTTTGAACACTAACAATGGGTTGGGAACTGTCCAAAGTATACAAAAGCAGAAGGAAGTCTTCTGAGATTATAACTTGTCTTTGTAAAAGCCAGAGAGTGTATAATAAAGAGTTGTCTACACTGGTATGCCTTTCCCAAGAACAATAACTTTTTTCCTAATGTCATAAAAATTACTCTCTAGACCCATACACCATTCGCTGACATGCCTATAGAAAAAAAGCCAACATCTGTATTTCAAAGAACTTCAAAAACCAACTTCTCTTTCTTCACAATAACTTTCTAAGTTCCACTCAATGATCACTCTTTCATAAACAGGACACTGAGTTTCAGAAACTCAACATAATGGAGGGAAATAATTTATGTTTGGGCTTGGGTTGCAGCCACTACTTCCTTTTTCCATACATTCATTCACACATTCAGCACAGTTTGTGCCCCAAAACTCTTTTTTCTTTTTAAGTTTAAAACCCCACATCAGGTAAACCGAAGAGGAGGTCTCTGAAGCTATTATTCTCAGCGGGAGTGTCCAGAACATACGGACAATGCTTTTTTATTGAAGAAACAAATGACACCACGTCCAAGCTTCCCATACTGCCAACTTTTTTATTAAAAACAAACAGTATGTGAAACCAACCTAATAAACAATAAAATGAAGAGCTCCATGTTTTGAGCCAAGACTTCCAGGAAGCCCAGTGAAAAGGCAAACTAGAACTGTCTGGAGTGTTTTCAGAGACAATCCCAGACACAGTCAGCACCTCGGCGTCCACAGACCCAGCCTAGTAAAGCCCCGCTCAGCCAAGGCCAATTACAATTGTTTCAAATCTTGATCTTAACGCCTCGAAGCTTAGCTAAAATTTCACAGTTCAAAACTTACTATCCCTAAGGGAGAAGAAAATTTAAGCAAAAACCTAAAAATAGTTTTTTAGTGTCATCTTATGATGATGTTTCAAAAGCCAAATGGGAAGAAAAAAGAATCTTACTATTTTTCATTCTTATTTACCTTCACGACCTATGGATCCCAAATCTATGAAATATGTATAGCCATACAAGGGTTAATTTATACTTTAACTTAGAAAGAAAAGGAGACATTGGCCCCAAACATTTGTTTTTTTTCTTTCTATTGCCTGTAATATTCAGTCTGACATATCAAATTAGGTGAAAATATTTTCTTGCAAGTTTTTAGAAAATGAATCAATAGAAAAGCATCAATAGAAAAGCAGAAAATAAATTCCAATCGCTCACAGGTCATAAAGTCCTCTGATCATTAAGAAATAAACATCTAGCCCTAACCGGTTTGGCTCAGTGGATAGAGCATCGGCCTGCGAACTCAAGGGTCCCAGGTTCAATTCCAATCAAGGGCATGTACCTTGGTTGTGGGCACATCCCCAGTGGAAGGGGTACAGGAGGCAGCTGATCGATGTTTCTCTCTCATTAATGTTTCTAACTCTCTATCCCTCTCCCTTCCTCTCTGTAAAAAAATCAATAAAACATTTTTTTTTTAAAAAAGAAATAAACATCTACGTATGGTTCAGGCGCAGTGTCAACACTCAATACACACAGTGACATAGGACAATCATACTCACGTAAACCTGGGGATGGATAATATTTGTCCTGCTGCTTGGGCTGCCAATCTAAGAAAGATTCCAAAAGTCAGAGAGTCAGCGCAGACCTAAGATTACAGGCATCATTAAGTTCAATGACAATGAAATGTGCTTGAAAGGGTGGTGTTTGCAAATACCCTTAGCAAAGTATGGTCTACCGCTAAGAGAAAGCATCTTAACTTAGAAGGTATGGGGAAAACAACCCTCATTTTACCACCATTCCAGGGACACAAATTTCCAGAACACATCCATACAATAGAAAAGTATCTCTTGGGGGAATTTATTATTTCATCATCAGACAAGAATTTAGGCAGAAAATTAATCTTGAAAGAAAATGTCCTTTCCTAAGAATCTTGGGGCACAAGAGAGGAAGAGTAGAAGGAACAGGGTTTCTCTATGAAGAAAGCATGACGAAAGCCACAATCTCTGCAAATCTGCACTTTCTCCCTCATCACGGGTTACCTAACAAGTGAGTCATCCTGGGAAGCACGTCCGAGTCCTGGGCAAGAGCACCATGGCGGACACATGGGCTGGGAGGCCAGCCCTCACCTGCACACTCTAGTGAGGGATGCTCCCTGCATCATCCCCAGGCTGGTCCCTCCTAGCCCTAGAGCTGCAGGCTGGGTCAAGTTCAGGCAAGGATGTGTGAGAGGTTCTGTGATCAGATACACAGCAGCGGCTATATGTCTTCATGCTAGAGAAGAGAAGTTGGAGAAAAGGAGCTAGAAGGATCAAGGAGTAGCACTATAAGAAACTGAAAGAAGACAGTATGTGGAGGAAGCATAACAGTATATGAAGTAAAGCCAACACATGTTCGGCAGACTAGCAAATGGGCAGGTGGGCCAGCTGCATATGAAATGGGTCTGCACAGGTGAGGGAACATGTATTAAAGTCACTTTTATTTATTTATTATTTTTCATTAAAATCACTTTTAGATCCTGTTTTTTTACAGAAATGATCCATTGGTTGGCTCATCTAAATATTGATTATCATTGCCTATAATGACTTCTATAATCTTACATATTCCTAGAGCTCGTGTACTAATAAATGAAGAACAAGAAAACTTTACTAGAGCAAGGCTATTACACTGTGTGAGTGCCTAGCTGTACGGGAGTGCGGCCAGGACAAAGGCACACCCATTCCCCCCGCCACACACCGTAGAGGAAGATGAATTCTTATCTGGCGCTGCGTATCGGAAAAAGGTCCCAACTTTGTCCACAGACACAGGGCTCACTTGCTCCCAACCATTTACTCTCACTTGTAGTTGGTGAATCCGGAGGTCATGGGTGTGTCTGTGAGGCAGAACACGGAAAAAAACATTAAGCCCAATCTTCAAAAGCAAAGAAAAGCAGGAGCAAAGACTCAAATCCGATTTACTATCTAATCACATAAAAGCCCAGTTGTCCAAGCCTTTTGGTGATTCCCTAATGCAAGAGAAATCAAGAGAACATATTAGCTGGGTTTTACATTTAAAACTGCAAGGTTTATAGCTTGGGCAAGAGTAGCATTTGTCCTCCCTTTGTATGAACCACGCAAACTCTCCACTCTAGCCCAAGCCTTGCCCACCAACCCCAGCCAAGCTTTTACAAGACAGTGCCATTCGCTACAACCACTTCTGTGGGGCAGTAAAAATGTTCCGCTAGCATCTGATCATATAACCAAACTCTGGAAGTGCGTGACACGGCATTTCCTCCTGGTTCTTTTGCTGAATACCCTACTTCTCTTAGACCCACACTCAGTTGTTTGGCTTCGGTCCTACAGGCCACAGACAGGTTAGGCATTTTAAGGCTGAAGGCTTGGCTGAAACAGCAGAAGGCAGTGGGCAGAACAGGAGGAACAGGAGGAAATTGCACATTTAATTCTATTTTAGGTTTCGCCTAATTCAAGCCAGAAGCCTAAAATGGGGAGCTGGATTTGAGGCTGACAGGAAGAAGGGAGGGAGGCAGGGAGTGGCCATGGTATGCCAAAGTGGGGAAAGCCAGAAACGGCATTTATGTTGATGAATTCAAGCAGAACAGTGGGACTTGAAATGCGCCGTTACAAAACATGGAAACTAAAACGGAAGTGATATAGAGGTCAAACCCCTTCTGATATAACAGAGGCCATGCTTATTAAGACATACAGCCAACAGTTCATAATTAGCTCCTTCAGGAACTTTGTGGAAGAGAAAATGCTCACCACTCATCCCTGGAAATGCTAACGTGGCTTTCAGGTACACGTACCCCGCTTAGTGATTTTTTTTTAAACCCTATTTTTCCTGTACAATCACTGGGGCCCACAGGTTCAGACATCTGCCCCAGGGAGAAATGTGTGCTGGCAGAAAGCTGTGCAAAGGGAAGAAGTATCTGACTTAGGAGCGGGTTTGCACACAAAGACTTCGAGCATCATGAAAGCATAAGGCGGAAGCCAGTCTCCCACACTTCAGCTCAGCTTGCAAACAGATAGGAGGCTGAAATCTTAACCTATTCACTGGACCGCCTTTCCACTTAACAATGTCTGCAAACACAAGAACACTTTGTTAGCTATTTTGTGACCGCTCAGTAACAAGCCACAGGCTTCTCTTGCGTTCGTCCCAGGCCTCTGGTGGACCATGTCAAGAGTGAGTGCCAGCGGTCTCCCTGGACGAGTGGTTCTGATCGTCCTCAGCGTCCGTGTGCCTCCTCATACGGCTCTCCTTCCCGAAAACGCCTGCCTGCTCCAAGTGCTATGTGACACGTGTGGGTCTTAACACTGAAATCGACATGCTTTGCCAACCTTTTAGAAGTACCATGTCACCAGTGCATCGTGAAAGTCAGGCTGGGAGGCAATGAACTTGAGTGTTATTCTCTGTCTATGCTTCAACCAAATTATGTGAAACACACATGTCAAGTAGAGAGATAATTAATGGGGGAAAACTTTATTTCCAAGATAGTAAGAAAGTCATTATATTTTTTTTAAAGGAAAGGAAACACTGATTTTTTAAAATAGCCTTTAAAAATAAATCATTAAACTCTCTAATAAAGGAAGGTGAATAGGCGAAACACTAGGGACAGTCACATCATATACATATTTTTTTAGAAAAAGAATGAGTCATACTTTACCTGTGTCTTAGCTTTCCACGTGCTTCAAATTCAAAGGGAATCTCTTCACCTGTGAGGACTTCCCGCCACTCACTGACATTGTGAGTGTCATCGAGAAATGTTCCGTCCCCTTCTGGAACTCCCCCTGGACTCCCGCTGTGAGACAGTGCAGCCCTGGAACCAAATCAGACGATACCAGCCTGTGCCTCTCTCCCAGCTCCTTCTCACACGGAGCTGGTGCTGGGAACAGAAACCCTCCCGGAACGCAATCCACAGCAATAAGGCCGTATAATTTGGCTCCAAAGGGTGACCTACAAGGTCAGTAACTAGAGGTATCTTCATGATCAAACGCAGCTCATGTGACACTTTAGAAACAGCTGAAAGCTATACTACACACTCACCTGCCTCGACAGTAGAGCTGCTACATAGGTGCTATGTAAAGTGAGTCATGACTTTTAAAAGTCATGTTTAAGTGACTACCAAGAACTTAACAGGCCCTGAACTGTTTTTAAAAAAACAAAACCGCCTCCTGTAAGGCATTATCATACTTCGTGGAGGCAGGGAAATGCGGTTTCCAACCAGCTGATGCTGTTACTTGTTTCGTGTTCTCATTTCCTAAGCTGGAGAGATCAGCGTGGATTCGGAAAGTCCAGCCAAGGTCTGAACAGGCTGAAAACTGCTGAAGAACCTTCTCACTTGGCTTAGGTAAATTCTCACTTGTTCTCCAAACCCCACCCAATACCATCTGGATTGAAGTGTGCTTTAGGTTGGAAAGCAATTCTTGGGGGGGGAGACGGGGAGGATGAAGAGGAAAGATGGAATGACTTCTCTTTCACGCTTCCCACTCTCAGCCTTAATTTGCTGGACTCTGACTTTAAACGCAATGTCTACCGGGATCAGAATCATTTGGAATTTCAAACTCGGGGCCTACTTCTCTGACTACAGATTCCACAGAGGACCAGAACCTCCACCATAAACCTCAGCAGGACAGCATGTGATTGCTTCGAATACAACCCAAGAGCCTCAAGAAGGGCCCACTGGGCTGGCACGCAGGAGCCTTGGGTGGCAGAGATGCCTCGGTGACAGAGCCAAGTGCTTCTTACCTGGTGGGTGTGGTGGTCAGGGTGGCGAACCACAGAGTGCAGCCTGTGTGATTCCTCAGAGCAAAAGGGACAAAGGGCTGCCGGCGCTTGGGGGTCTTCACCTCTGCTACGAACGAACAAGGTGGCTATTAGCACCGCCTCCGTCTGTGTGGGAGAGCCTCCCCCCACCACCACCACCACCACCTGGAGACAGTGCCCAGACGGTCTCTTGGCAAAGGGACTGCGGGAGAGGAAGAGAGGACTAACGGAACCTCCATGTACTTTGCTACGGGATGACTCGGTCCTCCCTGACAAATGGCTGTGGTGTGTGACTGCCCAGCCCCCAATCCTCCCACAATTCTTAGGGGCCTCATCTCCACAGAGGGCATCGGGACCTAACTTGGTTGGAATCAAAAGAGGGAAAAAGAGAAATGGACCCTCGCTACTCCCAATAAATACATTCTAAATAGGTAGCACAAACTGTAGCAAGTTTATCACACCGACTTGATTAAACTTTGTCCAAAATGCCTGTGCTGTAACAAAGCCTCCCTTTATGCAAAAGTTACCCTTCAGTCGTATTATTCACATTATAACGAAATAAAAACATTCTTTCCTATGTTCTTACACTAATAGTTGGGATATTTTTCTCCCGGAAAGATCAGAAATATACTATTCCAGAGCTTTTTAAATGAAAATTTTAGCCCATCTCTGACACAGATACCACCACCATAGGTACTATAGAGTCTACAAAAGGAGCATAAAATATGATTTCTTTTCACAAAACAGTTGCTAGTCAGGGAAACTGGAAACACTGATCAATACAAGACTATAAGTAATCAAATTCTAGAAAGAGTTGACCTGACAACAAACACTTTAAAAAGCCGGAGAAGTGGAAGACCACATGGCCAGAAAGCCGACAAAGGCTGTAAGTGCCCGGCCACTGCCCTGCTCCGGCTGCCTGCACCCTGCCTGTGTTGGTGGTCTGGCACGGAACAGAGGCTGCCCAGGGAGGGATGTCAGCTCCTCTGACCAAGGGCCTAAGTCTCCCCGGTGGGCCACAGGAAGAAAAGGAGGGGACAGCAGGGACCACAAGGGCAGCAGCAACCCAGCGCTGGCGCCTCCTGGCTGCAGTGCTCATGCCACACGCACACTAGCAACAAAGGGGGTGCAGCCCAGTCCTCCTGTGCGCACCGCTTTAAAGCACAAAGACAATACGAGCAAAACCGGGACCCAAGTGGCCCGCAGCTGAGGAGAAAATGACATCTCGGGGTGACTGCACATGCCGACTGAGAACACTACAGCGAAATTAAACTCGTCCTCCAGGCCCACGTGTTTCCTGCCAGCAGGACAGGAAGGCAGACTGCACCAGGCCCTGCCCCTCCCACCATGAGTAAGGCGTGGGGCCGCATCAGTCTGCTGTGATCACTGCCTTTAAAAGGAAGCACTTCCTTTTTCCCTCTTTTTTCAGGAGTTAGTACTATAAACACTGCCGGACAGGCACTTTCAGGTTAAGGCAAGTTCTGCTTTGGTAACAACAGTGGCTCAGGGAAGTCTGAGAAATGGCAACATGCTAAATAAATGAGTGGATACTATTACGTATTCCCTCAATCCCGTGGATAGTCTTTAGCGACACCCTCCAAATACTTCTAACGATACTCTCTGCTCAAAACATCCCCATTTCTCCTCCAAATGGCCTCACTTAGTTCCCAAGGTTTGCTTTAAAAAAATAACGTTCATCAAGTAGAAAACCACAGAGTAGCTGTGAGGCTGCCGACAAGAGCAGAGGGGGAGTAAAAACTTTAAGAGCTGTCTGCAGGGTAAACAGTGCTGACTGTGGCACCTTGAGAGGCGCCCCGCTCCGTGAGTGCGGCGAGAGCGGCTTTATTGCGGGAGATACAGGGCCCGGAGGAAAAGCAGCCAGCTGCGCGTTCATATCCCACTGCAGGCCAGACCGTAAGTTTCCATTTGCAAATTAGATTTAAACAGAACAGGTGGCAAGTGGCTTTGATCACACTGTAATACGGAATAAAGTGCTAGGAACCCATATAAAGACATTCACAAGTATATTACTTTGGAATTAAATAGCCTGGGAAGGCACACTGCCGAGGTCCCCCAGCCTCTTGTTTTGATTACACATACCGGCCGAGACGTCAGCAACCGACTTCTCCGCTAACAGAATCCATGGAGTGCTCACGAGTCCAAACCCAGCACCCGGGACACACCTGACATCTCCTGCGCTAGTGTCCAATCGGCTATGGATTTGCCTTGGCACAGCACCAGAGAGCAAAATCCCCAAGTCCATCAAAGAGCACCGTGTTCCCTGGCGGCCTCAGAAACTCTGCCTCCAGCGACCAGGCCTAACTTCTTCACGGGCTCCGAGAACCTGAAGCTCCTTCCGTCCAACTTTGGCGTCAAGTGGCTCCAGCTGAGACATTTCTACCCTTTGGGCCCGTGTCACAGAGTAACTGGGCCATTATAACCCGTGCACGTTTCCATGCTACAGAAGCAGCTCAGCCTGTCAGAAAGGACCTGCTTTGTAAATCATAAGAAATAGATTCACGTCCCAGGCCTGCCACTAGCTGGTCAGGTGAGTGAAGGCCAAGTACTTAGTCTTTCGGAGGCTCTCTGACCTCATCAGCTGAACTGAATACATACTCTGCTTAGCCTGAAACATGAAGTAGCAGACGGAGGAAAGCTTAGGGTATAAATCTCTGAATAAATGAAGACTTGATCGTGGGCTCTTTGTGAGCCATCCCCTAAGCACCCACCTCAGTGAAACCTTTCAGAAAAACCCATAGTACTACCCCGCGGACTACTAGCCCTGCTCTGTCCTGGCAGAGGAAACTCAAAGACCTTTTTCTACAAAAGATGTCATGGCCCAGGCAAGACCTGCTGTTAGCCAAGTACACACACAAATCATTCCGATTACATGCACATCCCGGGATGCCACTCCCTGCATGTGTGTGGTGTATTCTATCATATCACTGACCAGACAAATTCCCAAGGAACCTTACATGGTCAGAGTTAGAAGGACATTTGCTTTTCTGTCTCCTAAGCAGCTCGGGTCACAGCTAGAGAAGTTGAGGCCTGTGTCTAAGGCAGTATTTCCTTAGCTCTATTCCCGACCAGCAGAGCCCCTTGCGTTCCCGGTTAAATGTGCACCGAGTACGATAGCCAGACTGGCAGCACTGCGAGGTGGAGGCTGGGCTGCTTCTACTTACTTGCTTTTCAGTAGGAGAAACCACCTCACTGACCGGGTATGTCTGCACCCCACACGGTGGAGTTTTACCGTTTCCACCGAGGGTTAAGGCAAATGCAAGAGACAGCATACGCCAGCACATCGCTTCCTCCTGATAGAAGGTGTCTCTGTTCATTCGTTGGAAAGCTCTTTCCTGATACTAAACCAAAGTACCCAAAACGTGGTATGCCCCCATTCACAGAACACTGATGGACATGGCAGTTCTTACAGTAAAACAGGAAAATAAAGCCCTCGCTTGGCTGTACTGTACCTCTAGCATACATCTGGTGCTCTAGGTTAGTCAGACTGGCTGTACTCCTAGTTCTAAGGTAGACAAGGGGGAGGCCTGGTAGACAGGAGAGACAAAGTTAGAAGTAAGAAAAAACACAGTGAATAAGACTCACCTCCAATGCGTAAGCACAGAGTACATTACAGAGACAGCAAGCACCATGCACCAGTACGATCATTCCCCTCAGTGATTTCTAATAGCTATGAAGGTACCCGACAGCGTGAGCAGGACGGTTTTCTGCCGGCATTTATTATGGAGGCATTGTCAAAGAAGCAAGCGCCTTTTTTTCCTCAGTTGGGGAAAGAAAATGTATTCAACATTCTTTTGAACAGAGTGACAAGCCTTTTGAGGATTTTTAACTTAAAGCCCCATGTTCTTAGATGGCAGAGAAAAGTCACCATCACTCCCCTACCAGCTAGGGGAGGTGCTCGTGCCGCTGGCAGAAGCAGAAGCAGAAGCAGAGGCAGCAGGATGCTAATCCCTCAGGAGTCTCCACACTCCAGGCGAAGAGCCTGTCTGTGCTTCAGTTTTCACCGTCTTTACTAAGGCGTTACCTCAAAGTATTATTTACATTATAAATTAAACATGGAAGTGTTTAGAATATTTATATTTGGTATTTCCATCCAATGTCTTTGGAATACAAAACTAGTCAGTTCAATAAGATACCGTGCCATCCAGGTTTACCTGCAGAATCGCAGCCCTTACTGAACAAAGCCAACAATTATGTCAGAAATGAGGCTATTTTCTTTCCCCTGCTAAAGAAACAGTGGGAAGTCAGCAGGTCCCTTGGGCTGAATTTCACATTATTCCAAGGGCTCCCATTGAAACTGCCCGGAATAAAATGTACAAATCTTGGGGGAATGTGACTAAATAGTCATGAATAAGACCTGAAAGTCTGTGGTCAGTTCAGCAAGGTTCAAACCGACTGACTTTCGGAACCAATGCCCAACAACTACCTCAGCAGGTCTAAAACAGAATACAATCCCGTTTGATTTACTGCCACCCAGGAATTTCCAGTCCGAAAAGAAGTTTGGAAATTTAGGTATATTCAGTTACGTCTAATTAAAAAGAAATATTACACCTTTATAAACCTAAGTAACCATAAAAATCTATAAGTAAATAAAATCCGGCTTTAATTTAGCAGAGGCATTTAACATAGATAAGGCAGCTTATTAACTTTAAAGAAAGAGGAGAACTTTTTTTCTTTCTTTTTTTAAAAGGGCAGAGAGGAGAGGGACAAAAGAAAGCCCTTCGCTAGAATCCTAAAGACTGGGCCTTCCTGGTGTTTGCACTGACTGGATTTAAGATCCTCCTGTATGAATGCTTTTAGAAACACACACTCCCTAAGACACAAGACATATTACAGAAGATTATTTAGTCTTCTTGGTGGAATTCTATGTTACATTCTGTTGACACACAAATGGGGACGGTTAGGGGAGGAGCCCACATTGAAGCTGATGATATCTGAAAAGCCCTGGCTCCGAAGCAATGACCTTGAGTCTCAGAAGCAACAGCCTGGGAACAGAGAGCAAGCAGAGCTGACATTTCCTGCCCCTCGCTCTAGAAGTACAAGGCAGAGAGACAGTCCATTTAAACGTCCTGAGGAGAGACGGACAAGTTCAAATACTTCATACACTACGAAAATCCATCTCCCCGTGACACGTTTGCAGACCAGATGGAATATTTATGTATTCATGAGCTATGTGAAGTCCAGCCAAGACTCCCAAAGAAACCACACTCAAAGAGCTGGGGCTGAGCTGAATTTGAATGACAATGGCTGTGGAACAACTAAGAACCGTGCAGTTGGCCATCACAATCTCCCCAGCTCCGAGGCAATCAGAGCTCCATGGTGAAGCATTAAATAAGGAAAGAAAACATCGTTAACAGAGAACAAACTGACTCCTCCCTCTTCAAGCGGCTGGGCATTCAAATCTTTTATGTTATGAACAATACAGGGCCCCCCTAACAGTTTTTTCCACATGGGATAACCTGCCCTCCCTCTCTTCAAGAAAATAGCCAGTCTCTAGATTTAGAAGACTGAAAAGATGTTTTTAAAAAACTAGTCAAAAAGTTCCACCCACAGGAATGTTTGGCTGAGTAAAACCCAAACTGAGCAATGGCTGGTCTCGATGCACTTCCAGGGCATCCGTCCGTGCCATGTTGCCAGAATTGAGGACCTGTATATTGTAGGTCCTCTCTCCCACAGAGGTGAGACTGGAGCTCATATTAAAAGTTGAGTATTTTGCACCAGAAAAAAGTCTCTCACGACGACTAAAACAGAACTGTAGAAGACAGTCAGAATTTCCTGTTGGTGTTTCCACTGAAACTGATTTTGGAGTTTTCAATGAAACATGGGTCTGTGGGTCAACAGTGACAGTTAGACATTTGTAGAGAAAACCCTTACTTTGTCCAAAGCAGGGAGGATCCACTGAAGAGCCCATCCAGTCTTCTGTTGCAGTTGATTCTATTTCCTTGTCCTCTTTACAGTAATCTGCCATCCATGATTCCTTGGTACTCACATACTGATCTAGAAAATATTCCCCAAAGACATTCAGAAGAGAAGTAGAAAATATGAAACGTTCAAGTCAGATAATGTCAATTCAGCAAAACAAGCTTCCACGGGATGCCTCACTACGAGCTGGGCAACCTGTAGATTCCGAGCAAGTCTGTCCCCTGGAGAACCTCATTCTCCACTGGAAGAAACTAATGTTAACAAAACAACCATTAATTACCACAAAACGATACCACACTGTGAGAGGAACTAAAACAAAGATAAGAGTGAAATTCTTTGGGAGCACAGAACGGGAAGATTCCGTCTGCTTTGGGAGAAGTGGAGGACCACACATGGGAATTTTGGGCCGGGGGTTGGACACCTTTGTTCTGGGTCTAAAAGAATGAGTAGAAATTACAGTTTACCGATGGGATTAGGATACAGGCACATTCCAGGCACAGAGAATAGCATATACAAAGGCTTCAACATGAAAGTACATGGTACAATCAGTGAACATTAAATATTTCAACATGACTTCGGCACAACATACTGGGGTAAGGACAAAGCAAAGATGATTTAGTGTGTATAGAGCGTGGAATCCCATGCTAAGTGACAGGGTTTAGAGATAAAATTTAAAAAAGACCAATTTGGAGGCTGTTAGAAAACCATTAAATTCAAGAGGCTGTAATCCACCTGACAGTCCTCCAGCTGTTTGGTTTTTTTTTTACTCTTTTGAGAGGAGAATTACAACGGGGAGAGCAGGTTAACAATGATGTACCACACTCAAATAAAGACCTTTTATACTAATTAAGATATACTTCCTAGAACAGGCAGAGTGGTTAGGGGCCATCAGGCAGGCAGGCAAGTGGTTAGGAGCAATCAGGCAGGCAGGCAGAGGGGTTAGGGGCGATGAGGAAGGCAGGCAGAATGGTTAGGAACAATGAGGCAGTCAGGCAAGTGGTTAGGGGAGATCAGGCAGGCAGGCAGGCCAGGGGTTAGGAGCTAGCAGTCCTGGATTGTGAGGGATGTCCGACTGCCGGTTTAGGCCTCAGGGATCCCTGCGGGATGGGGCCTAAACCGGCAGTCGGACATCCCCCAAGAGGTCCCAGATTGCTAGAGGGTGCAGGCCGGGCTGAGAGACCCCCCCCCCCCCCCTCCCACCCCT